CTTCCTCTGGTGCGCAGGCGCCGCCTACCGTCTCCGGCCCGCTCTGCGCCGCTCCCCAGCTCAGGCTTCCCCCGGCGCACGCGCCCCTGCCCGCGCGGATGCTCTCGCGCACGCGCCCCGCGGCCCGGGCCCTCCTCTGAGGGCACGTGACCAAGCTGCTGGGGAATCCTTTCCTTCCCCTTCCTCCCCCCCACAGCTTGTGTGGGCGCGCGAGGCCGGGAGGGGGAGGGGGAGCGTTGCTAGGTGATGAGAGTGGGGCTGTGCAGGGGGTGCAAGCTCCGAGTCTGAGTCACCCCCACCTGCAGCACGGAGGGGGGGGGGGTTGTGCCCCCCTCCTGCAGGCCCAGACTCTCCCTCCCTGCAGCTCAGGGGGGCAGCCTCCTGGAGGGCAGAGCTGCAGGGGGCACCTCAGCTCCTTGCCCCCCTAGTTGAAACAGGGTGCTGAGTGCAGGCATCCTGCCCAACAGGGGCTGAGGCACAGGCCACCGCATTTTGCATCCTGCGGTAAAGCGGGGCAGAGAGACAACACCCCTCCCCCCATGGTTCTGTGTAGTTTTCCTTGAATGACAGATGTAGGAATTGCAATGCACAGGGGAAATTGCCTCCACCTCCACTCCGCTGCCCAACCACCACCGTTACAGACTAATGCACATTGCCTCGCCTCCACACTAGAAATAATAGGCTGCAGTGCACTCAGAGCCATCATCCCTTTCCACAAGGCTACCCCTTCAAAAAGGCAAAAATCCTGTATTATTGCCACTGGAGATTAAAACATCAAGCACGCTGAACACAGGGCTCCATTAACCTGACATGCACTCCAGTCTAATGGTATGCATTGAAACCACACAAGAATATTAATCTCACCTTTAAACAGGAAAAAAGGAATTGCAAGTTACTAGTGCACAGGCAGAGTAACTGAAAAAAGAGACAAGTTCAGAGATAAAGGATAGATAGCAACTGAAATCAGTGTGAGAATTATTGATAAACTAATATCCATCTTTTAAAAATGGGGTCATTTAAACAGCTGGAAAAAAGTAATTCAAAATTAGTAAAGAAAAGAGTGAATTGCAGCAAAAAATTGCAAAAGCGAATAGCCTGAATTATGGGAGTTGCTGACTGAAAAAATTGGTACTTGGGTATCCACGATGTGGGGGGAAAAAAGTCCAGGATAGCTGGCCTATATGCAGCATAGCCAAGTTAATATTGCTCAGTGGTCTGGATGAGCATACTTGCTCTATCAAGTCACATGTCAAATTTATTTTTCAGTGTTATTTAATATGGATTTGTTCATTTAAACTTAGAATCATAGAATCCTAGGGCTGGAAGAGACCTCAGGAGGTCAAGTCCAGCCCCCTGCACAAAGCAGGACCAACCCTAATTGGGAAAGTAATCTTTAAATAAGTATCTGATTGCTTTTAAACAACATGGTCGCAACCAGACTACTGTACAAGAGCCTCACATGAGACCTTGCGTCAAAATGGACTATTACTTATTTTAAAAAAGTAAGTAGCCAGACTCCCTTCATATCCTGGCATCCTGAAGCCCCTCTAGGGGTTTGTAAAGTTCTAATAGACAATTAGCCTGCTATACAAAGACAGTAATTTGAACATATCCCTTTAAGAAGGTGAATACTTAGAAAGTGAAACTGACAAAAGGGCACCAAACAAGCCCAAAGTATCCATTAAATGCAAGAGTGGGCATCAGTGCCACCTTCTGTTTGAAACTGAAAACTGCGATTAATGCCAGCATCCACACAAACAGGATAATCCGAAGTTATAGATGGAAAAGTCATATTATGTCATCCAATGCAGCTCTCTAATGTAGGATCCCTTCCTCCGGCCCACCCCTACTTCCCCTTTCCCTCACAGCCTAGTTTTAAACATCTGAAGTAAGGAAGCCTCGGTCTCTTCCCTAGGGAGATTATTCTGCAACCTAAACAGATCTCACTGCAGGAAAGTTCTTTAATATTCTGCCTGTGTACTGCCTTTCATCAGAATTCAATACTGTACAGAGCACACTTGCAATTCTCTCATTACAGAATAGATTTTATTTATGGAATTTTACAAATAAACTGTAGCGTTCACAAGACATAACTTATGTTCTTTGTTTCGACAAGAATTTCATACAACACCTGAGTTATTAAAATACTGAGATGGAACTTGAGTTTCTAACCAGACTTGTAAAGGGAAATATAAATAACAACACTCAGGAAATTGGTATAGGACATCTTCTCTCAACTGTTCCCCCTCCCCCACCCATTCACTTCCCTCCCCCTTCTTCCCTTAGGGAGATTTGTATTATCCTTTAATTTAACACATTGGTTACCTGCCTTCCACAGCGCAACACGTGTACTCATAGAATGTTGGACGAGAGTGTCATAAGTAACTCTCTAAAAGGAGCCTCAACTCTTTACTTCCCCCTGCAATTCACCTGAATTTCCACTCAGTTTCCTGATGAAGTCAGCTCCCAAGAACATCTCGAAGGGAAACTAGAGATTCAGGATTTCTTCAAGGGCTCAGAAAAGCCCAAAGAACATTTTGCACCAGTTCTCATCAAGTTTTACCACCACCAACAGCCAGTCTGGCAGATGGAAGGATCACGGGACAGACTCCGGCAGCAGCATCATTCCTCACTCTTATCTAGTGCCTTCCTGATCAGTACATCTCATAGCACTTTACCAAGGAAGTCAGCATTATCCCCATTTTTCAGAGGGGGAAACTGAGGCACAGAAGGGTTGGGGAGTGACTAGCCTGAGGTTACCCAGCAAGCTAGTAGCAAAGCAAGGAACTTCTGTTAGTCAACAGCCCCAAGTTCACAACCATGGGAGGCAGAATCTGAAACAATCCACGGGGGAGGGGTGCCTCATTGCATACCCAAGCCCCAGGGGCCAACATTACGGCTACGTCTACACTGCAAGGTTTTTGCGCAAAAACCCATGAAGCGTCCACACCTCAAATGCACTTTTGCGCAAGTAAATCAACAGTTAAAATGGCAGAAGAGAGGGCTTTTGCCAGTGTAGATAAGCCTCCTTTTACGAGGCATAACTCTTTTGCGCTACAGCTATTGTGCAAAAGAGGCAAGCGTGGGCGCTCCAGAGGAAAAAGCACAGGTGCTCTGATGGCCATTCTGTAAATGGCCATCAGAGCTTTCTTGAGCAAGAGCATCCATGCAGTTCGGACGCTCCCTTGCGCGAAAGCATATCGATTTGCAATGTGCTTCGAGGTGTGGATGTGCTCTTTCGAAAGAACCAAAGCATGTAGTGTAGACGTAGCCTACCAGTATGATAACAGTAAGTCAGTTCTCTTCACGAACTGGAGGAAAGCTAGCCCAGAAGCAAAGCTCTGAAATACCTTTACCTCCCTTCCCAAAGCCTGCAGCTACCCCAGCTGGGTTCCAATTCCTCAGACTGTTCCTAGGACCCTGTGCCCTTAAGAAAAAAAGTTACAGTATTTTTTTTAAACGCTTGCAACTCAGCAGTATCGGTGTTTAAAACCAGACACCCAATTCCAAGTGAACCTGGTCACAGTGTAAGGTTCCCTCTCGCAGGCAGGCCTGAAAAACCAGCCCCAGGACTTGTGTTCCACACCACCCCAGTCTACATGCAGCTGCCATGCGCTTTCCTTGAATTGGTGAGATCCTGCAACATCTTTGTTTCGCGGCTAAGCTCCTCCAGCTCTTAAAATGTCCCCAGATAGGGTGGAGGCCTCTTTTCAGAGAAAATCCCAGGAAAGGCAGCAATGTTTGGCTATTCTACCTCCTGGAAGCCACCCAGAAGTGTCCATTACAGTAACTCTGACCTGCAGATGCCACCGTTTAGTTCATTAAACCCCCAGGGGTAGCAGCACAACCCTCTGCCCCAGCCAGTCTGGCCACACATCAAACACTTCTGCCCGGTTGTCTTCAGTGCTGCCCGTGCGGTGAGTGGGAAGAGGCCAGAGCGCTGTGACTAACGGACTAATTATGAAGAGCAGTAAAATCACGGCTGCCTGTCCAGTTTAGCATCCATTATCTGTGCCAGGAAAGGAGAGAGTCCAGCCCAGCCCCAGGAAAAGTTCGTGCTCATCCCCTCTCCCTGGGCGACCTTCCCAGAGCCTCTTCATCCCTCTTTCGCACTCGGAACCTTTCCTCCTGCCTGGCCTGCTCTGCAGAGATCTAACACAGGACGCTTCCGGAGGAAGGTCTCTTGGGAGATGTTTAGATCCAAGAGGCAGGCATGCTCCCCATGCTAACAGGAAACACCAGCGACCTGCACAACCGGGACACTAGAGGCTACAAATTATGCATGGAAATACCGGGGCTGCACCATGACCCCTTTCTCTGACTCAGCTACTCCCATCCCCCACATTTCCACTGCTCTTGGAGGGACTGAGCACGAGGGATGGACGGGTACAAGCCTAAGCACAGCTTCTGCTTCAGTCAAGTGGCCTCACGTCCAACACTGACATCCATCCTCAGCCATCCCCCGCCTGCAGCCACCCAAAGAGGATGGGAAGAAGGAACGTCCATGGTTGGAGCTCTCGGAAGTGGGTGATGCAGCCAAAAAGGAGCCAGGGAGCCCGTTTTCCTGATCCTCATGTGCATTGTTCCCAGGAGTCCCTCGGGTGCCGGAGAGGAGAGGAAGGGTTGCTACACTGGAAACAAGTCCTTGGATCACTTTAGATCGAGGGCAAGGAGCTTCATCAGCCCCCCCAAAAATAAATGATACAGAGTCTATGGAAGAGTTTTAGTCGTAATGCCTCTTTTCCGCAGTGTTTTTGCAATGCTGATGCCTCGTACAGCTGCCCTCCTTCCCGCAGGTGGGAAAGCCCAGCCAAGCCAGGCCCGTCCTACCCTATCTGGATCTGGCCTGAGAACATGGTGAGCAGCAACATGATGATGAATCCCGTCAGCAGCCCTGCGTTCTGGATAGCGAAGGCAATCAAGGCGCTGCCGTTCCGCTCGTCCTCCTGGCTCACTTCGTTCATCTCCGGGAACTGAGGAGAGAATTGGAACATTTCACTTGTGGAAATTCTCCACCCTCCTCATAAATTTGCACCTGCAGACCCCAGTGCTGTAGCGTGCCCCCCCCAGTATTACGCATGAATTTATATAGAGCAGTTCACAATCAAGGTCAAGAGCTCTTGACCTGACCCTATCCAACCTCACTAAGCTAAGCTCTGCTAAAATTACAGCTCCAAGTGGTCTAGCTGCAGGTGAGCTACACACGCTACATTTGGTAAGCATCCTCCGTATGTTCTATTTTCACCATTCTCCCGTCCTGGCCCAGAGTCACGGATACGTCTCACTCACACAGGCCACTCAATACCCTTCCTAAAAATCACCCAGAAGCCTCGCTGTGAGAAGCCAGAAGGACACCCTGGTGTACCACACATGATGTTACATCATGTTGCCATCAGGCAAATCCTCTTAGCTCCCAGAGCCCGGCATCCTTGAGGCTTTGCAGTGTAACAATAATCCTAACAGAGGCTCATCAATGTGGATTGGCCAGTGGTCACTGCAGAAGTCCGTTTCCCACCCCCGCCCTCATCCCCCAATGCTTCAACTCCCTAGGCCAGCAGCCCTGGGCTCCCGTCGGTTTGGGATTTACCATATCAGCCAGTGCAATGTAGAGGAACATCCCGCCAGCGAGAGCAAAGATCCAGTTGGCAGAAAAGTGGCTGCCAGCCAGGATCCCAAAGGCCAGTCCTAGGTAGCAGCAGCAGGCCGAGATGAAGTTGAAGAAGAGGGGCTGCTGGCT